CCCGGGAAGGGGCGGAGCCGCGTCCGGGCTGCGGTTGGGGAAGCGCCGTCCCTCGGAGGGGCGTGTTGAGGGTTTCGCGGGCTTGAGCGGGGGATTGGGGGGGAGAAGGGGGCGTTAAAGGCTTGCACCGCGCCCACAGGAAGCTGCTTTAATGGCTGGGCTTCCTTGGCAGCGGGCTCGCGACAGGGCAGGACCTTGAAGACCACGCGGTTCAACTTCCAGTTTGCAGATGTGGGAACGGAAGCCCAGAGAGGGTATGCCACCGGTGCAAGGTTACACAGCTGCTTAGTGGCCTGCTCGGGACTGGACTCCCGCGCTCCGGACTGCCCTTGGCCTTGCACTCAGCTTCCCCCTTCGAGGAGGTGAATACTAATCATCACTTCCCTTAGACCTATTTATAGGATTTGAGGCCGGTGCTGTTACAAGCTCTAACTCACATGGGGTGGGTATTCGAATTCCTCTTAGATCTCCACCCACATGGACCAGGTACTTAAAGGAATAGAAATGTTTCATCCTGTGAAGGTGCAGAAAGAATCGTGTACAGGTGTAAAGCATCGTGGTTCTTAGCTTTTTTTTTTTTTTTCACCATACTGCTTTAGGGTTAATTGGATGCAGGCAAGCTCTGGAAGGAACTAATAATGAAAGTCTTCCTTAGTAAAAGGCACATAAAGGAAATGTGCAGTTTTTGTTTTGTTTTTTTACTTCCCCTGATACTGTTACATGGGCTGCACGTGAAGAATTGTCTGAATGGTTACATTTTCACCATACTGCTTTAGGGTTAATTGGATGCAGGCAGTTTATAGAACTCTTGATCATGAGCTTGAACTTGTGGAATAAATTGCTCTACTCTAGCCATACTGAGGAAACTAGGAGGAACTCTGTCCTCACTGAGGTTCCATCTACTAATTAGGAAAGGTGGGCCAGCTACCTTTAATCAGTAAAAGAGGAAGGAAAGTTCTCTGCTAGAGATAATCATTGCCCTTCTGAAGCAGAACTGGATCACCTTCCTCACCCGGTGCTGTGACTAGATTTCCGATGGCTTAGCAGTTCTAACCCCAGCCTTTTGCTTCATCTGTTAACTGAGGAAGGACTACCCTCTGTGTGTAACTTGGTTAGTAATCAGTGAAGGTTTAGGGAGGTGACGCCCATGAAAGTCTTTGAATTGGCCTTATGTAGATTACCCAGACGCCAAGTGATCCACAATTTTGTCTCCAAGACAACTTTCTCCTGCACCCCTCGCCGCGGTTTGCCGAGACGCCTCCTCTGCTCAACATCAGTCGTGATAATACCAGTGAAGGCAAATGGATTTTTAAAGTAGCTGGAATAATACGCTGGGGAGATAAATGTTTTGCAGCAAAGTTCCAGTCAAACATAAGATCCGAGAGAAATAATTTTAGTTCAGTTGAAGTTACTGATGCTGCTGTCCAGTCCCTGTCTAAATCACACACTCCTGCATTCAGCAGGTGCTAGGAGGCACCACAGTGAGTGAGTGCACACACTCTAGGAACTGACTACCTGGGTTCATCCTAGCCCATCCCTGCCACTTCCCAGCTGTGTGACTTAGTTTGCTTATATATAAAATGCTAATTTACCTACCTCAAAAGGCTTCTGGGAGTTCTTATGTGAGTTAATAGATGTTAAGTGCTAAGGACACAGCCTGGCATGTTACATATGTTACATACACATTGGCTATTATCTATTTAGCATGTATTTTGGACTAAGCAAGTAGTTCTTGGTCCCTGGCCGATTAGAGAAGCTAATCTCACAAATAAATGTCAAAGTGACAGATACCAAGGAATGCTACAGTCAGGGGACTCAAGAAAAACTTAGCTGAGAAAGGGAAGAGAGTTATTCAGGTGGAGCAGAAAGGAACAGTATGTACAAAGGCCGAGGTAGGAGAGTGCTTGGAGATTATAAGGAACTGCAAGAAGGCGGGGCCTCTAAAGCCGAACAAGGGGTTGAGGTAAAGCTAGGGTGTTGAATAGGGAAAAGGCCACGTGAAACCTTGCATGCCACTCAAGTGATTTTGTCTATATCCTAAGAGCAAAGAGCAGCTGTTGAAAGGTTTTAAGGATAGTGGTTGCCCTAGCGGCCCAGTGGTCGGCATACTGCGGCTCGCGAGCCACATGCGTCTCTTTGGCCCCCTGAGTGTGGCTCTTCCACAAAATACCGACTTCTGCGCATGGGCCACGAAGTTTCAATCGCACTGTACATGCGCAACCGCACGTGGTATTTTGTGGAAGAGCTACACTCAAGGGGCCAAAGAGCCACATGTGGCTTGTGAGCCACAGTTTGCCGACCATGGCCCTCGCCGGTTTGGCTCAGTCGATAGAGCGCCGGCCTATGGACTGAAGGGTCCCAGGTTTGATTCCTGTCGAGGGCATATGTAGGAGTGTGCAGAAGGCAGCCAATTAATGATTCTCATCATTGCTGTTTCTATCTCTCCCTCTCCCTCCCTGAAATCAATAAAAATGTATTTTAAAAAAAGGATAGTGGTTGTAATATGAAGATTAGCCTGGAAAGGGGGAAGAGTAGATGCAGGGAGACCATTTAGGAGGCCATTGTAATAATCCAGATCAGAAATGATTCTTGTAGAAAGGAGAAGGGTAGGAAGAATAGTGGAAATAGATGTCAGAGTTAATTGAACTCGGTGACTGGAAGAAGAGGGAAGTGCACTGGTACCTATTACGATGCTATTTGCAGTATCTCCCAAGTGGAAGGAATCAGAGACTATTGTTTAGCAGAGTGAGGAGAGGTACGTAGGAGGCTTCAAGTTGTATTTCTTTTTCTTTTTTAAAAAATATATTTTTATTAATTTCAGGGAGGAAGGGAGAGGGAGATAGAAACATCAATGATGAGAGAATCATTGATCAGCTTCCTCCTTCACGCCCCGTACTGGGGATTGAGCCCACAACCCGGGCCTGTGCCCTCATGGGGAATCGAACCGTGACCTCCTGGTTCATAGATTGACACTCAACCAGAGTCACACCAGATAGGCTCAAATTGCATCTCTTAACCTCTCTATGGAGTACGTGGATTTTGATATGTTATTCTCTAACTTTTTGAATGTCAGGAATATTCATGTCTGGTGAACAAAAACTATGAAATTAAGAAAGAGAAAAACTGAGTTTCACTCTTTTTTAAAAAATATATTCTATTGATTTTTTACAGAGAGGAAGGGAGAAGGATAGAGAGTTAGAAACATCGATGAGAGAGAAACATTGATCAGCTGCCTCCTGAACAGCCCCAACTGGGGTTGTGCCCACAACCAAGGTACATGCCCTTGACCTTCAGTCCACAGGCTGATGCTCTATCCACTGAGCCAAACCGGTAAGGGCCTGAGTTCCACTCTTACTCTGCTACTTCCTGCTGTATGATTCTGAGCAAGTTCCTTAACCTTTTGGGTCTGGATCTGTGAAACAGGTTGCCTGAGCAAAACCGGGAGCCTCTCTGAGGTGCTTGGTGCAAGTGTCTTGTGCCAGGAGGTGCTCCCAGTATGTTCGTGAATTCATGAGATCAGCTGCGTTTCCCCTCCCAGGGTGATGTCCCCGACCACGCCCCTCCAGGGGGAAGACTAAACCTGAGGCTGTTTCTTCCTGAGCAAGGCTGACCTCCTGGGCCTCATTCGTGATTATGAAGAATGGGAGGTGACTATGACATTTGGAGGACCGAGTGCGAGAGAGAACATGCACAGAATGCTCTTCGTCTTCACCTCCCACAAGCAGAAAGACCATTATTGTAAAAGAATCCTCTAGTTTTCCTGTCTCTTCCCTTTGCTCACTAAGCTCTAGCCTTTCTGTTCCTTGGACACTCCGTGATTTGTGAGTCTGAGGACATTGGTATTTGCTGTTTCTCCCGTTATTCCTATCTCAGATTCAGATGTCACTTTGTAAGGCCTTTCCTGACCAACCTATCTAAGGTAATTCCCACAGCTACTCCACGACAGGACCCTATTTGATTATCTGCAAAGCATCTCTCAATACTTGAAATTATCTTTTTTCTTTTTTTTTGCTGTCTCCCCATAGCTGAATGTAAGTTCCATGAGAGCAAGGATCTTGTCTGTGTTATTTGGTGCTTAAAATTGTGCCTCACACATAGTAGGTGCTCACATATTTGTTAAATGGAAGAAGTATATATAACTAAGCTTGCAGCACGTCCTCGTGACCAGTGAGAAGTGACCATCTAGCTTTGTTGGAGGCACTTTATAACTTCGCCCTCTTTCCCAGTGTTCCCCTTGGACCTGTGGTCCAGTCTGTCCAGCCAGATCATATCCCCCACCTGGAGTTTCCTCCTTTCCTCTGTCTAAAGGAATGGATTCTTGCCTGGCCAGTGTGGCTCAGTGGTTGAGTGTCAACCTATGAATCAGGTGGTCACGGTTCGATTTCCAGTCAGGGCACATGCCCGGGTTGTGGGCTCGATCCCCAGGGGGAGGGGTGTGCAGGAGGCAGCCAATCAGTGATTCTCTCTCATCACTGATGTTTCTATCTCTCCCTTTCCCTTTCTCTCTCTGAAATCAATAAAAAAAATTTTTTTTAGAGTACTCTTGTTAATTTGCTCGTTCAACTACAATAGCTTACTGTTTCCCTCACCCTCTAGGGCATTTCAAATATGACATGGGAATGATCAATAAACAGGTAGTTATTACTTGATCAGAAGAAAATGTTTAATTATTATTATTACTATTTTAATCCAGGAAACGGGACAGGGAGAATGTTTGAAGAAGGATGTAAGGGCCGGGACCCTGAGCACCGGCACAACCACACCTCTATGAACGATTTTCCGAACTCAGGTGATGATTCTTTCTATCGTATCCTCCCCAAAGCAGAAAGGGACTCCGTATGGGAGCACAGATAGAAGGAAGGGGGGAATAGTGTCAGAGTATAGAGATAAAAGCTTCCTGAATTCTAAGCTAGCAGGGCCTCTGAGAGAGGTGAGGGAGGTGGAGCAAATTATTTAATGAGTCTTACTCCTGCCCCTCCCGTGTTTACCAAAGAGCTTGGAGACAGACCAGGCACCCTGAGCCACTTTCTCCTTTCATTTATTCAGTCCTCTTTTATCCTCTCTCTTTGTTCTTTTTATGATTATCAAAGTAATACATGCTGCTCACTGGCAAAGTTTTGAAAAGCATCAAGAGTTAAGCAGAAATCACCTGTAATGCCAAATTATATCCACCATTAAAGTAATTGGTATATTTTTCCCAACAAAGTTCAAATTTAAATGAAAGCCAAGGTATTACCTTGTAACATTTTTGTCATCCCTCCTCAAAATGTACTTTTAAGAATGTTAAATTGGTTCAACTCTATCCAGTTGCATTAAGAAATAGGATGAACTAAACATTTGAACTGGCTCTGGAAGGCATTTCACACAGAGCAATGCAGAAAAAAGCCTTTTAACTTTGGCTTAACCTTTTTTTAAAAAGTGCCAATAGAATAAACTAAAATGGGAAAGTTATTGAAGTATGCCCACTGGGTCACCACACCTGAAGCTCCCGAAGGCCCGTTTTCCTGGCCAGGGGTAGCCGGGAATCCTCTATTCAGGCCAGGGCTCTTCTCTATTTCAGTTCTTTTTTTCTTTATTTAACTGAATACGTACTCAGTTTCCATTATCTGCTTTGTCATTTTGGGGAAAACCCAGCTCTTCTTGTATGTCCCCATTATTCTCACACCTTCTACACTCAACACCTCTGACACCAGAATGTGTGGGGTTTTCCCCCATCAAACAATTCACCCAGGTGGGTGTCCAAATTTTAATCAATTCTGACACTACTTGGAAATAGCCTCAGATTCCACAGGTTAAGGGCTCAATCCCCTGAGACTGCCCCCCACTTCAGATGCACATCACAAGTAGTAGGCCCCCAGGTTACCCCCAACCTCTGTCTGACTTGGCTACAAATGAGATGTCCCTTTGACCCCTTCCTTGGGTTCTGCTACAGCGGCTCACAGAACTCAGGGAAGCAGTTACCTACATTTACCAGGTTATTAAAGATATAAAAGATACAGATGATCAGTCAGGTGAAGAGTTACTGAGGGTGAGATCTGGGATGGTCCCTAGCACAGGAGCTTCTGTCCCTGTGAAGTTGGGGTGCACCATCCTCCCAGCTCATGGCTGTGTTCATCCACGGGAAGCTCCCCGAACTCCCTGCTATTGGAATTTTTATGGGCTCTTCCTCTTGTAGGCATGAGCAGTTATTAACTCATTTTCCAGGCCCTCTCTCTAGAGAAGTTGGATGTGGCAGGCCGAAAATTTCAGCTTCTAACTATGGCTTGGTCTTGCTGGTTGGTGACCAGCCCACATCCACTACCCCTGAAGTCGCCTCAGAACAGAGCATGCTCCTCGTGCTCTTATTATATGGAATGTACAAGGGTTTTAGGAGCCCTGTGTCCGCGATGGAGTCAAAGACCAAATATTAGCTCTTGCCTGTTTGGCTCAGCGGGTAGAGTGTCAGCTTGCGGACTGAAGGGTCCCCGGTTCAATTCCAGTCAAGGGCACATGCCCAAGCTGTGGGCTCGGTCCCTAGTAGGGGGCATGCAGAAGGCAGCCAATCAATGATTTTCTCTCCTCATTGATGTTTTTCCCTTCCTTCCTCTCTGAAATTTAAAAACAAAACAAAACAAAAAAACACCAAATGTTACATCGAGAGAGGCCCCTAGTGTTCTCACCACTTAGGAAACAGGGTTTTAGGAGCTCTGTGCTAGGAACTGAGGACAGACACTAATATATATTTTTTTCTGTTATTTCACATCTGTGTGCACACACATCTTTTATCCCCATAGACTATAACTCAGGGTTTCTCAACCTTGGTGCTATTGATATTTTGGACCAAATAATTTGTTTTGGGGCCCTGTCTTGTACATTGCAGGATTCTTTTTAGCAACATCCCTGGCTTCTACCCACTAGGTGCCAGTAGCAAACCCCTCTCCTGACAATAAAAAAAATGTTTCCAGATCACCCTGGCTGGTGTGGGTCAGTGGTAAAGCATCAGCCCAAGCACAGGAGGGTCTCAGGTTTGATTTTTAATCAAGGCACATGCGGGAGGCAACCAATCAGTGTGTCTCTCACATTGATGTTTTTCTCTCCCCCACTCTCTCTCAAAATCAATGGAAAAAAATATCCTCCAGTGAGGATTAATCAGAAAAGAAGCAGATGAGAACCACTGCAATAGCGCCTTAAAGTCAGAGGCCTTGTCTTATAAATTCTGTATCCCCTAAAATGCATAGCACATACTGAGCATTTTTGTTGTCCAAACAGTATCGTTGCCTCATGAAAATCATTGCTATTATTTGTAAACCTCACGCTCTTTGTACTGTTCTAAGCTCTTTACATTTATAAACTCATTTAATCCTCACAACAACTCTATGAGATAGGTACTATTTTTGTGCCCTTTTTAGAGTCAAGAAGCTAAAGTTCAAAGAGGTTAGGTTAGTTGCTCCAGTCACCTCACTGGGGAGTAACACTGGGATTTGAGCCCTAACCAGGCAGTCCAGCTGCAGAATCTGGGCTCAACCATCTTGCCATCTACTACTTTTAAATACAAAGAACAAAACTCAATTTGTAAAATAAGTCAGACATTCTCCATTGGTCTACAGAATTTGCATAGGCAAACACGTGGTAAAAAATAAAATTTCCTTTTTGACAGAATAGAGCAAAGCATTTTGCAAAAATCTGAATTGTTTCAGTGGATGCATCATAGTCTGTAAAACTAACATAACCAGTCCTTTATTGGGCATTTTGGTTGTTGCTAATATTGTATCTGAAACATTATAATCAATTGTTTATTGCATATAAGTTATACTTCAAAAAATGTATCAAACATGTAAGGATATAGTTTGATACATTTCGACAAATGTATAAACCCATGCTACCACCAACAATCAAGATGTAGAACAGAACATCTTAATCACTTTTGTTCCTTTCTGGAGTGGTGTACTAAAGCTGGCTAGTGTCCTGGTACCAGCTGGGAGAATCAGTTATGTACATTTCTCAAATCTGCATTTAGTGACATCACATTAGTAGCTCAAAATTGGCCAAGGTGGGAGTATTTACACCACAGAAATTGATCAAGTGTCACAAACCAGGGCTCTCCCGCCCTCCCCTTTTTTTGACCCCGTATAGTCTGCCTGCATCCCTTGCCCTAGGCCTTCACCATTCTATTGCTTGTGTAAAAAAAATTTTTTTAAATATATTTTTATTGATTTCTGAGAGGAAGGGAGAGGGAGAGAAACATCAATGATGAGAGAGAATCATTGATTGGCTGCCTCCTGCATGCCCCCTATTGGGGATGGAGCCCCCAACCCCGGCATGTGCCCTTGACTGGAATTGATCCCAGGACCCTTCAGTCCGCAGGCTGATGCTCTATTCACTGAGCCAAACTAGGTAGGGCTAAAAAAAAATTTTAAATAAAATATGATAACCACTAACTTCAAGGGGTTGGAAGATAAAATTAAATATCCTAAAAAAAAAAACCACCCTGAAAAATAGGCATTAAAATATTTTTTAAAGCTAGAGGTAGCCTAGGAGGTCTAACATTTAAGGAGAGTTCTAGAGAAATAGAAAATTGGAGGGAAGGCCATCATTGAAGGAATAATTCAAGAAATAATCTCAGACACAGCTACAGCCACGGTGGCTCAGTGGTTGAACATTGACCTATGAACCAGGAGGTCATGGTTTGATTCCCGGTCAAGGCACATGCCCTGGTTGTGGGCTTGATCCCAGTTGGGGGCGAGGGGTGTGTGTGCAGGAAGTAGCTGATCAATGATTCTCTCTCATCGTTGATGTTTCTATCCCTCTCCCTTCCTCTTCGAAATCAATAAAAACATTTGAAAAAAAGAAATCATCTCCAGAATGAGAGGCCCACATGATGGATGAAAAACCAATGAATTTCAGATCATTGAGTACATAGAGGAAAGTTACTAAAAATCTTCCAGAGAGAAAACACAGGTCACATGAAAAGGAGCAAAGGTCAGAGCGGTACCATGCTCCTCAGCCATACTGGAAGACAGTGGAGGAATGCTTTCAAATTATTACCTATAATTTTAGGAATTAGCCAAATTGTGAATTCAGTAAAGTAAGCACATTTTCAGATGTATGAAATCTTTTTTTTTTAAAGTATATGAAATCTTGAAAATTTTACTTCCTACCCATCTATCCTTTCTCAGGAAACTACTGGAGGATGTGGTGCACCAAAACGAGAGAATAAACTAAGAAGCAGGAAGACATGTGGTCCTAGAAACAGGATATTCAACATAGGTGAGAAATGACGAGAATCCCCAAGATGATGACAAAGGGAAATCCTAGGGTGACAGATGGTCAGGATTGGGGCAGGAGGACAGAAGGCACCAGAATGGATGTCCCCAAGAAATAAAATGAGATGAATAGACGGAAAATGTACACTTTTTTTAAAAATATATATTTTATTGAGTTTTTACAGAGAGGAAAGGAGAGCGATAGAGAGTTAGAAACATCGATGAGAGAGAAACATCAACCAGTGCCTCCTGCCCACTCCCCACCGGGGATGTGCCGGCAACCCAGGTACATGCCCTTGACTGGAATCGAACCTGGGACCTTTCAGTCCGCAGGCCGACGCTCTATCCACTGAGCCAAACCGGTTTCGGCGAAAATGTACACTTTTGGTGATAGTGGAGAATAAATTCATTATAGGGACATGGAAAACTAAACAAATAAAAACCAATTTGTTATTAGTAATTCTAAAAAATTGATTTTTTAATAAACTGAAAAAGAAAGAAAGCTTAATTATAGAAAACTAAGTCACTTGGCTGTGCATGGTCTTTATGGAGGCATAATTGTGTAAACAGTATATGGATGGATCTCCACTAATCCCAGCATCCTGGGCTTGCTCCTTGCAGTCTGCATTCCAGCCAGCAGGGGCTGGCTCCCTGTTCTAACTATTCTGGGTTTCTTTTGGTTAAACAGGAATTGATTTAATTGTGTTCTATTGGAAAATTAATACATTAAGGAATTAATTGTTGAATTAAAATATCAATAAGAAAAATGGGTCTAAGCTAAAGGCTGTGGACAAAACTACACACACACACTTTGTCCTCCCATTTTTGTACTGAACACCCGTAAAACATCGTCTGGAGCTTTAAACTTGTGTCTGCTAACTAATTTGAGAACTTGGATTTACCCAAACTGTATATACCCGACCTTCGTCCTCTTATGGGGAAGTTAAGTTGTGCATATTTGAATCTAGCATATGCTAGATTGACCCTTACCACCTTATCTTGCAAGTTTTTGGTGTTTTGTTTTTTTTCCTAGTTCCGTTTTCTTTTTATTCACTAGCCTGTACTCAGTTCAAGGGCAAGCTCTTTTTTTTTCCCCTCTGCAAGGTTCTGGCACCTAACACAGACAGACCTTGGCTCTCCTCTCCTCTCCTCCCCTCTCCTCCCCTCCCCTCCCCTCCTTTCTTTCTCTCATCTAAGATTTACTGAGTAACCACAGAAACCACAATTTGAGATGATGGCCCCATCTGATATTGCAGGGCACTCAGTTACTCACCCAGCACTGTCACATCTGTCTGCCTGACGCTGACACTGGTGTTTTTATCACCTCTTCCACCCTCCCATTTTGCAAAGAGGACCTGAGTTCCTAAGAGTGCCTTGCCCAAGGTCACACAGGTCAGTGTTGGAGCAGTATTCAGGCCTTCTTACACCCAATAATGCACATATACATTTGTATTTTTATATATTTATGTTTGTATACATGAAATATATTTTAATCCTCACCTGAGGATATGTTTTTATTGATTGTAGAGAGAGAGAAAGGTGGAGAAAGAGAGAAACATTGATGTGAGAGAGAAACATCAATCAGTTGCCTCCTGTATGCAGCCCACCTGGGGATTGAACCTGAAACCTAGGTATGTGCCCTGACCAGGAATTGAATCCACACCAATGCTCCAACCAACTGAGCCACCTGGTCAGGGCACATTTTTATGTCTTAATTAAAATTTAAAAAATTACCATTTTAACTGTTTTTAAGTATATAGTTCTAATGAACTATGTTAAGTATGTTCACATTATTGTGCAACAGATCTCTAGAACATTTTAATTTTTTTAAGTTATTTTTTAAAATAATTTTTATTTTTAAATTACACTTGACATACAATATATTAGCTTCAGGTGTACAACTCAGTGAATAGAAACCCACACAACTTATGATACTTAATAAATCCAATACCCATCCAGCACCATACATAGTCATTACCATATTATTGGCTATTTCAGAACTTTTTCATCTTGCAAAATTGAAAACTATATATATTAAACAACAACTCCCTGCCCGGCCTGTGTGGGTCAGTGGTTGAGCGTCGACCCATGAACCAAGAGGTCACCAATTCTCAGCCAGGGCACGTGTGGGGGTTGTGGGCTTGGTCCCCAGTGGGGGACGTGCAAGAGGCAGCCAATCAATGTTTCTGTTCTCTATCCCTCTCCCTTCCTCTCTCTCTCTAAAATAAATAATTAAAAAAAAACCTCCCCATTTCTCCCTCACCCCAGCCTCCGGCAACCTCCATTCTACTTCTGTTTCTATAAATTTGAATAGTCTAGGTATCTTACATAAGATAAATCAAAGAGTATGTCTTTTTGTGATTGCCTTATTTCACTGAGCATAATGTCCTCAAGGTTCATTCATGTTGTAGCATGTGTCAGAATTTCCTTCCATTTTAAGGCTGAATAACAGTCCATTGTACATATGTACCACGTTTTGTTTATCCATTCATTTGTCAGCGGACACGGGTTGCTTCCACCTTTTGACTATTGTGAATAATACTGCTGTGAGTAGGATCCTTGAGATCCTGCTTTCAGTTCCTTTGGGTATGTACCCGCAAGTGGGATTTAAATTCTCCATCTAATTCTAAAAATGAGCCCCTGTGGAGTGGTTGAATTGGTTGAGCGTTGGGCACCGAAAGATTGCCAGTTCAATTCCTGGTCAGAGCACATGCCTGGGTTGTTGGTTTGATCCCCAGTCCGGGAGCATATGGAAGGCAACCAATCGATTGATGTTTCTCTCTCCCTTCGTCTCTCTAAGCATGTCCTCAGGTGAGGATTTAAAAAATAATAATTCTAAAAATGTTTTGAGGCCACTATCCCAGCACCTTCATCAATATTTTTAAAATGTTTGGAATCTTGAATTAATGAATAAAGGGGCCAGAGTGGAACAGAGGCGACAATGGAAAGGAGTAACCTAACAGAAGTCTTCGCTGGAATAAATCTTTTCACCTTTACCCTTGAGAAGTAGCTGCAAACAGACTTAGATCCATCAGAGAAGGACTGAGTGGCCTTGTTTTCTCATCTACACAAAGGTCTCCTAACGTCCCAAAGTTACATCCAAACAGAGTAAGCCCTATCCATGTGAAAAGGTCACAAAGGAGGGGGCACAGTATTCACAAGATTTGGTCCACATGGGTAAAGGATACAAATTCAGGATATTCTAGGCCGGTCACGTGAACTTCACAAAGGATCTATCCAGGCAGAGTAGTGACTGTGGCATAATACGCTGGTCACCTCCAGGCATTTTTTTTTTTAATTTAAATTTTTTATTGTTTAAAGTATCACATAAGACTCCTTTCCCCCCCATTGACCTCTCCCCGGCCACCCCCACCCACTACCTCCAGACATTTTTAAAAGCCAGATCTGATTTTTCCTAAAGTTGGAAACCTGGATTTTCTGTGAAATATCTTGATTTTAAAAAACTGGATTTAGCCGATACCGGTTTGGCTCAGTCGATGGAGCGTCTC